TCTATGTATCGGTTCGTGACACCCGATCCCCTAAATCTACGTGTCGGTTCGTGACACCCGATCCCCTAAATCTACGTGTTGGTTTGTGACACCCGATCCCCTAATCTCCTTTTATCAATTAATCAAGCCTTATTTTTCACCAAGGCATCATCCATCTCATTATTAACAAAGAGATTAGGTTTTTGCAAGATTTGGGATTCAATAACTTCATCATGCTTATATAATCACAATTATATAATTACATTCATGCAAGCATACAATTAAGCACATAGCAGGGTTTACAATATTATCAATACATATCATTCGGTATTAAGAGTTTACTACGAATATCGTAAGAGAAATCATAACCTACCTCCACGAAGACTAGTGATCAAGCAAGAATTTCCCAAAGCCTTGTGTTTTTCCTCTTCGTTCGTCTCTCTCTATCGATTCTCCTTCTCTCTCTTTCTGTTCTTTTCTTTTTCTTATTCAAACCTTCCTTCTTTTACCCTAATTAGCATATAATTAAGAATAAAAGATAGAAATAATAACCCACTAATTTACTCAAGGTTACCTCTTTTAACCTCCAAGTAATTACACTTATTAACATAAACCCACTAACTTTATAATTAAAGTAGGAATAGTCCAAAACGTCCCTTAAAACGTGTAAAGAAATCCGACCCAGACTGGGATTACGCAACCTGTGACGGCCCGTCGTGCCTGCGACGGTCCGTCCTGCAGGTCGTCGCAAGGTTCAGAGACTCCATTTCCACCAAAGAGTCTGTGACGGTCCGTCACGCCCGTGACGGTCCGTCACGCCCGTGACGGTCCGTCCTGCCATTCCGTTACGAAGTTCAGAGAGTCGATTTTCAGTACCCAATTTCAGAATTTCTAAGTGTTTTGAAACGAGACCCCTCGACGGTCCGTCGTGCTCATGACGGTCCGTCGTGGGTTCCGTCGTCTCAGCCTGTTTTTCCAGAAATAAAATCTGCTGCTCAAAACGACTAAAGAGGTCGTTACATTGATATCACCTACAACATAAAATCTTTTATATTTGTTCATTCAATCTTAAAAAAAATGTCTTCTACGACTAAAGTTAAAGTTTCAATTTATTGGGATGACAAAATTATACATGACAAAAATATCGTTTATTATAATTGTCCTCCCAAATACAATGCTAAATTTCCAATTAGTGTTCGATATCATAAATTCATTTCATCAATTTATAAAAGAATGGGTATAAACAGTATTGATTATAATTTGATGATAGTCGAAATACCCTACTTCATTTTTATCACAAGGACAAGTTAATTGTGGAGAGTGGATTATCTATAATGACGAATCGTTGATCGACTTTTTGAGGGTTCCAAATGACTACACAAATCAAATCAAGTTAACAATACTTGAAATCTATGTTAGGAAGGAGCCTAAGATTAGTCAACAACATTCTCATTTATCAGTCGATGTTAATCCCCAATTAGAAAATCGTAATAGCTTTGATGGATTTCCAATACCTCAATCTATTGATTTTCCTAACATGACTCGTCATCAAAATATTTTTACCGGTCGATGTGATATTGATTTAAATGAAACTATCAATGAAAGTGATCGGTAATGCTCAATAATTATATTTCAATCATTATTTGTTGATTTTGTCAATTATTTATTAGTTTATATGATTATTTTTCTTATTATTATATATTTTGTAGCGATTTACCTTAACAAGATAGGAATATTGCTCCAAGTTATGGAATAGATAACTATTTTGATCAGTCCTCACACTTTGAAATGACGGAAAATGTTGGGACATCCTCAAATTTTCATGTCTCGCCTATTTTTGGTGCAGATGATTATCAGTATGTCCAACGCTTAATTTTTCATTTATTTAATTAAGTTAATTGCATGAGCGAAATATTTATACTTTTTTTTTACATATATAGGGAAAATATTACACAAGATAAACCCATTGATCCTGTGAATATCGATGATTGTGACCTTCCTAATTACGGCTCACCTTCAGCTAGTGATAGTGATGATTTGCCTAATGCTGAGGAATCAGAAGATAATGTTCCATTTGAGGCATCATCTAGTGATGATTATTTTTTGACCCTCAATAGATCGCCAAGACCAATGTCCATGAGCCCGTTTCGTAATCATGAAATTCCTTATATTTGATAATCTCCCAGATGGTTCAAATATCTTTGGTAATACATATGATGAGTATACATCACAACGTATGTGACATGAACTAGAAAATTTCATGAATGATGCTATTTATATTGAAAAAAGGCATGTTATTCAATTCAAAGAAGCAGTTGCAAAGAGCAATTAAATAACTACATTTGAAAGTAGCACAGAAATACTTTGTTATTAAATCGACAAGAAAATCATGGCGACTTGTTTCCAGGCGTGTAGAACAAGGATGTCGATTTAGGTTGACTTCTTTTATTGATTAGCATACTAACATGTGAAAAGTTGAAAGATACATTGAATAACATACATGTGATATGGGTACATATCATGAAGGACATTTCAACTTGGATGTTGAGATGATTGCTAACGTCCTCTGTTTTGATATAGAAAGAACGCCAATGTACTATTTTATCCTTATATGATTCTTATTTAATAAGAAAATATTCATTTTTATTTGATAATTAATATTATTATTACTTTTCAGGTTTCCTATCAAAGACTGTCAAACAGTCATTCTTAAAGCATATGACATTTCGATAAGTAGAAGAAAAACCTATCTTGGTTGCAAGCGGGCTTTTGAAAAAGTCTATGGTACTTGGGAGGGTTCTTTTGCTGAGTTACCGAGGTTCATGAAAGCTTTGAAATACTTCAATCCTGGAACAATAGTAAAATGGAAACGGAGCAGCGTGTCGATGTCATTGAAGATATATTCAACTATGTGTTTTGGGCTTTTAAAGCATGCATTGATGGGTTTGTGCATTGTCTTCCTGTTACATCGATCGATGGAACACATGTCTATGAAAAATATGATATCAAGTTGTTGATTGAGATTACAATAGATGATAATGATTGTTATATTACCTTTGGCATTTCTAATAGTTGCAAATGAGAGCATAGAGACATGGACTTTATTTTTGAATCATTTGTACTTGCACGTTGTCAAGGGTCGTAGAGGGGTCACATTGATATCAGATAGGCATCACATAATACTCTCATCCGTGTATAATTCTCCGAATCGGCAGGCTCCATTTGGGTTCCATCATTTTTGTTTAAGACATTTGAAGGCCAATTTTTTTAAAAAAAAATCAAAAATGTCACTTTGAACAACCTGTTATGGGCAGCTGCAAATCACTGTCAGGAGAAAAAGTTTTTGGAAAAAATGGAAATGATCAAAGAGATTAATGCGGAAGTGTATGTGTAGCTAATGAAGAACGATCTTGACAAATGGACATTGCACAGGGATGGAGGTAAGAGATGGGGCATGCTGATAACAAACAGTTCTATATCATTCAATGGTCTTCTCAAATCAGCAAGGGGTTTACCAGTTACTGCAATGGTAAGACTCACTTACAATAAATTGTGAATCAATTTGTTACAAGATCAAAATTTGTTAATCATCTAGTACAGAAAAAGCAACAATGGATGCCTAAACCATTCAAGATTTTTGAGGATAATTGAAAAAAGTCACAACGTCACACTGATCAACTATCACCAACAAAGGGAAAACATATTTGAGGTGCAGACACATATGCATCATGGTCGTGGTGGTAATAAGCACATTGTAAATGCATCACAAGGAAAATGTCAATGTGGTAAACAACAATCATACCACATTCTGTGTTCTCATGCAATAAAGGAATTCGACCAAATTAGGTATCAAGCATGGGAGCATATGACACCAGAATTCACTGTGCATAGCTACAAAAAAGCCTACTTTGGATAATTCAATCCATTCGGTGGTGAAAAGAATTGGCTTGATAGTCCCTTTCTTATGATAGCAAATAAAAATTATTTACGAAAAGTGTGTGTAAATAAAACCACTCGTATACAAAATGAAATGGATGTTCCTGCAAGTATACTCACTCGCAAGTGCTCAACGTGCAAACAAATAGGCCATGATAGGCGCAACTGTCATTCACGAAATCGAAATGCCTCATATGGTGGTAATAGCTAAAGAAAGATGTTTAATTGTGTTAATTTATTCTTGCATCAATTTTTATGCAACTTTTTATTCGAACTTTTTGATCATCTTCAAGTCATGTTTAAATTTTCAAAAATTTTCATTTATTTTTTAAAAGAAAAAAATACATACACAAAATAATAATGATATATATAACTAAAAGAATAATACTATACACCACAAAAAAAAGATACATACACCAAAATAAAACTATATATGATTAGAATAATTTACTATATACCCTCAAAAAAAGATTCATACACAAATAAAATTAATATTATATTCCACAACCCTTTTTTGAAATTTGTAAAACATCTCGCGGTCTAAGTCCCGTATATCCATCTTCATCTCCATTGTTCCTCTTTCTCTTTTTGGCCTGAAGATCCTTTATGTTCACATTCTTTACAATTTTTTTAACAAGTTTTTTTCTTACGGGTGTTTGCGGCATATCATCCACTGGCATGATGAAAGCAACATCTGTAGACGAAAGTGGTGATAAGGTGGTCTGCAAATACTAAGTTAGATAGTAGAAATTAAAAAATAAAAGTATAAATAATAGAAATATGCAATGTGATGCAAATTAAAAGTCTACAAAATAACTAATATAAATATTTCAACAAATAAATAAATAACATAAACATGTGTAACATCAGGATCCTCATTAACTGTCGGAACAACATCCTCTATGATCATCGTGGGACTCTCCTCCACTGTAGATGAAGGGCCCGTAGTATGAATCTAAAAAATTATTAAAACTTAATTTAATATAAAATCAAAGTTTTAATAATTAATATACATATTTCAAAAATAAATAACTAACATAAACCTGTGTAACGTCGGGATCCTCATTAACTGTCGGAACAACATCCTCTATGATCGTCGTGGGACTCTCCTCCACTGTAGATGATGGGCCAGTAGTATGAATCTAAAAAATTATCAAAACTTAATTTAATATAAAATCAAAGTTTTAATAATTAATATAAAAATTTCAAAAATAAATAAATAACATAAACCTGTGTAACATCGGGATCCTCATTAACTGTCGGAACAATATCCTCTATGATCGTCGTGGGACTCTCCTCCACGGTAGATGAAGGGCCCGTAATATGAATCTAAAAAATAATTAAAATATTATTTAATATAAAATCAAAGTGTTAATAACTACTATAAATATTTCAAAAACAAATGACAAAATGAAAAAAATTCCTGTAAAGCAAAACTGAAAAAATGTATAATGTAAGGCATTATAGTGTAAGACATTTCAAAAATTCTCATTTCTGCTTATATATAGTGTAATGTATAGTGCTTATTATCAGTGTTGTTTTAGTTTTAAAATTGATTAATTTTCATACATCATTGCTGCACAGATAAGTTGACGATTCCATCTTTTCTGGAGGCCCTAGAAGATTCTGTTTCCAAGGCATCAGGATCCAATGAATCAAGGCAGGATGAGAAGGATTTAAGATCTCAAACTTGTAACAGAAGTGATCCCATGGATGAAGGGCATAAAGATAAACAGTGCAAATCAAGATTGTTATGAAGTGATCACAATGTTTACTTCAAAGAATTGATTTTAATATGATGTGAACATGTTACTTACAAGCACTGTGAAGAAGTACTTATTCAGGGTGACATAAGTTGTGTATTGTTAGAGGTGATAGACATAAGTCATTTCCAATTATGTGTGTATCTGATGTTTTAACACTAAAGTTTGAGATTCTATCGCCTTATTCATGGGATCTCAAAATTATTTTTTTCCTCCCACCTACTATTTTCGGAGAACATATTTATAAATTGTTTGGTCAAGCATCTCGAATTTTCGATAGCTAAAACAAAAGAAAAACAAAAGACCCCTCATTTAGTAATTAAAGGAAATAACTGTATTAAATAGACAAATAACACGAACATGCGACTCAATCGGATCATCAAGCAATCCTTCAATAAAATCTTGAGTTTTATAAATAGTAGTATCTTCGGTGTCACAATGGACAGTACCTGATGTACCCTACAAAAATATATAAATAGTTTTATTTATTTATTTTGAAATATTTATATAAGTTAGTAATGTTTTAAGTTTATAATTAATTGTTAATGCTTACCGCTATATCAGGTATATAATCTCCAACATCTATTGTTGATTCATAGCTTATACGTTCGATTCCTTCTACATCTCGAGTCGGTCTTGAATAAGGATCAAATGACATATGTATAAATTCATGATGTCTGACGTGCCAAACTGATGAACATGCAAATCATCAGCCTCTATTCTCACCTCTGCCTCTATGTGTGGAGGAATAGGCATACCACCAGCGCCACGTCCTAGAGCGCGTCCTAGAGCTCTACCTCTATGCCCCTCCGTCCATGTCTGGCTCCTCTTGCACGCACATGTTCAAATAAAGGATCTTCCTAAAAAAATGTGTCTCTAAATTGTATTCCGGCCTCAAGCAATGTATCCCTAACAATCTGAGATACTTCTTCACCATGTGAATTTGAGGTTGTATCTCTCTGCTACTGTAATGCAAGACTATACAACTTAAATAGTCCTCTGGACATTGCAATACTAGTACCAGCGGAATGAACAAAGCCTGACGATACATCAACCTCTAATGCAGGCATACCTATAAGCAATCTTCCATGTCGCATGTACCATAATCTATACCCTGCCCCGCTAGTACCATCATTTACCTCAAACGCTAAACTTTGATATCGATTACCCCAATCACGAAAATATTTATCCATCATTTCAAGAACCTCTGGTCCAAGCCTCCTACGCTGATCATGCACGTGGTGGTTGGTTCCCCAACTAGGACTCACAGATACATGCTGGGAATGACCAAACTGACGCATTACTCTATCAGGCGTGTGCACTTCAACAATATCTAGGCAAAACATAGGGACACATGTCATCCATAGAGGCATCGATCATACAACAAGGAGGCAGTGTATGCAAAATCTCATTGTACGGTATCCATCAAAACTATTTTTAAAACATAACAATTATATAAAATCAACATTAACTAATTAGTACACAAATAAAATTATTATTGATTTACTTTTATATGTAATTTATATTTTTTTTAATTATTTTAGTAGAGTTGCAAAAATTATTTGATGTACTTGATCCTCCGTTATGCGGGTCTAGCTGGTCTCTAATCGGGATAAGAACATGATGTGACTCAGTATCCCTATCAATTCCACGCGTTCAACGGCTAGCATATGGAAGTAATATGTCACCATAATGCTGAGGAGGAGCTGATGGCTGTACAGGCAAGATCTTTCTCCCAACACCAAACCTTGATGTGACAAACAAAATAATTAGATTATAATCATTAACAAAAAAATAATAGATAATTACATATATATATATTTTTATAGCTGTAGGAAAATGCATGTGAATCTTTTTTTAAATTATGTAGGTTCTATAATAATTATTCATATTTATTATGAAGTAAGTTTCAACCTTTGGTTGGACCTTTTTTTTAAAACTATGTAGGTTTTCTAATAGAATAACATTGTGTGCTTTATCAATGCAGGTTTCTATCGAAGAAGCAGGCAAAGAAAATAAACTATTAGTATGTAATTTAAATATTTAAAAAAATTGAATATAGAAAAAATATTCTTGTACGGTATAATGTTAAATAATTTTACATTTGAATGTATTTTAAAACTTAAGTAAAGTTACCTTAAGGAAAGGAATAAATCCGCAAATATCAACCACATTATCGATAGATGTTCGACAAAGTGCACTGCACTGCCCCAACTGTACTTACCTACATTGTAGATAGGATCTAGGAACGCCAAGTGTTGTAAACTAATAAGGTTTCCTGAAGTGTTCGGAAACAAAATGCCCCATAATATAACAAGCATGTAAAGTCTAGCAATCCTCTACACTCGTTCCATTGGAGTAGCATCTCTTATCAGATTTACTTGTAACTGATCTCGCAAGTAGCCGGTAATGCTATGTATCATCACCCGACTCGCACCATCCTTATCAGTAGGTGCTATGGTGCATCCTGTGAATGTCTCTAATAAAGTATGTCATGGACGAATCCTCCGGGTAGCATCCTGAATGTACACAACATCACCATCAATGCGCAAACCAAACAAGACCTGCACATCCTGCAATGTAATCGAGACCTCACCAAAAGGTAAGTGGAAGCAATGAGTCTCTGGCCTCCAACGCTCAACCATAGTTGTAACAAGGGCACGATCATACTACATCCTTCCTACACAAACTACATCATACAGTCCGGACCTACGTAAGATCTCCTCAACACATTCATGAGGTAGGTGCAAATGAAATAAATTCCATGCATCATTCATGCGCACCGTCCTCATAAGGCTACTAAATGGTATTTAACCTTTCCATAACAATTATGATTTATGCTCATGCTGAGAGAGAAGAAGTGTACGATCAATCGGTCCAGGATTCACAACACGCTCCATTATATACTGTAAGAAAAATTATATTAATTCGTATAATATAATTATATTTTTAAATATTAATGCCTAGACAATTCTGCTTTTTATTTACTTCTATAGCTTTGTTGGACCTCTGCGGTAAAAGTGAAATTATATATTGTACCTCTTATTATTTGTCGAGGTTCCTCAGAGAGATTTTAGCTTTTGAATTGTGAAGGGGAGTAAAAGAAAAAAAAGAATACTAATTGATTAAGTAGTGAGAACATATGTAATGATCGAGAATATTTTAACTAAATAATGTTTAAAATTCTTAGTTATTAACTATGACATAATCATGAAGAATGCTTTCTGATATTAATCAAAATCTAACAAAGAATAACGTTATAACTCTCTCGGCTTTCTGCTCAAGTTGGTGAAATAACTTGAGTTTGCTAACTCCAAAAGAAATTACTAAAACAAAATCACAGAAATAGTAATCAATCACCCGAACAGTGTTGGCGAACTAGCATTTGAACAAGTAAACAATCACTGAAAAGAAAGGACATTGGGATATTTCCTTGGGAATATGGTGGTAATTATATTTTGTGAAAGGAATTGTTTATAACACACAAAAAAAGGAATCTACACTAAATTAGCTGCTAGATTCCCTATATGTCTAGTATGTGATATATTTTTTTTTACTTTGCTAGATTGTACAGAGCTCCTAACACATCCTTAGTGTTTTTTTTTACTTTGCCAGATTAGCTTAATGTGTTTACATCATTATATTTTGATTCATTCTATTGTAGTTAAATAATTAGATAAAAATAAATTAGACTATAATTTTGTGGTTTAATATCATTCTTAAAAATGTTTAATATCATTTTGTCAAAACTAATGGGTATCTTAAAGAACTCTCACAAAATTCAAAAAATTCAACTTCACGATACTATTCAAAATTCCAATCTCCTTTTAACGTAAGGTCCAAAGTTGGACCATAGGAATATTTCATTCATAATTTATTTTCAAATTTAATACAACATAGAGAGAGCAACAAACCCCACTAACAAGTAGAAATGAAATCTAAATTAGAAATACAGAGGAATGCTAAATCAGCTTTTTTTTCTCTCAATATTTTTACTATTCCATTGTAAAATAAAATTAAAATAATTTAAGAACATGTAGGTTATAATTTATTCCGTGAATCATAACCATTAGGCAAATGATACTATACTAGACACAAGATGAGATAAATGAAACACATTCTAAGTAAAGAAAATATGAGATGTTAAAGAAATACCTAATTTATATAATTTGTAGGGACGGATTGTTATGTTGATGGGTTGTGCTACTCCAAAATTTTTATTTATTTAGTGTGGGGCCACTTTGTTATCGGATTGGGACCATCAATGTAAATCTTCAAAGTGTAAAAAAGCTTAAAAGCCATGAAAGTGAAGAGAGAAGGAGAAGGTGAAAAGGTAAAGTAATTTTCTATAAAGTAGAAGATTTTCGTCCACTTTAAAAAGTTCAACTTTATAAAATGGAAGAAAAAGTTCCACTTTATAAAGTGTAAGAAAAAGTTCCGTTATACGTTAAAAATACATGTTATGACGAAAAACGTTTAGAAAATTAGATAGAGTGAAACTTTTTTTTCCACTAAGCTTATTTTAGTTAATAACTAAAATAGTGGCTTATTTTGGTCATTTTTAAATTTGTGACTTATTTAGATTTCCGACTCAAAATAAAGTTATGTCGTGTGTTCAATGCCAGCTCTTGCCTATAAATTTTAAGGCCAATGCCTTAGGGGGCCTCAAATTAAATAAACTGTTTAATTATTTATAATAAAAAGTAATATGAATCTTTCGCTAACACTCACATTTAACCTTTTTTACTTGTTTTGCTCTTTATTTTTTTAAATCTTTGATAGTTAGAATAATACTCTGTCAAAATATTAATGAATAGTCAAAAAGTGTAGAACAAAGTGAATTAGTAATTCTTTTGTTTATTTCTTCGTAATTTTTCATACTAAATAGGATATATCACTTATCAACCTTTTGAATCAGATTCCATTATTCTAACTCTTGTCTTTATTTAAAGTATCAACTTATTACTTGTAAAATTATGTTATCAATTCATATAATAATTGTCTCGATACAATGATGTTTTTTAATGTTGAATTGATAAAATCTTACCTAAAAATAATAATTTAAAAACGTATTTGAAAAAATCATTTATATAAAAAGATATTCAATAATAATTTACATCTAAAAATTTAGAAAAATAAATAAATACAAATATAATTTTTTAAAATTTTAGGTCTCTAATTAGAATTTGGCTTTGGGCCTCAAACTATGTTGAGCTGCCCCTGCGTGTGTTAAGAGAAAATTACTTCTTTATTTGTATTCCCTCGTTTGCAGGGGTTTTGACATAATATTGT